CCCCCCCCCAAACACACACACACAATGATGAGTAACCGAACAAGTGATGACTGTGTTAAGAATGCTCAACAATCCTAAATAATTGATTTTACGGGGCAATCGGTCTGCTGATGACGTCAGAACACAAACTGCACTTTTACACTTGACATGAATCTACTGTGAAATCACTGATTTTCGTGGGTTTTTTAACTTTGTTGATTTCGAGGGTAATCATCATCTATGAATTCATAGATCCACAAAGTAATTACATGTTTGATATGAAGCAATTCTCCGCTGATCGGGTACTCGCAATCCGTGTTGCAATCCACGGATCATGCACCCAGGAAATGTTTTGTTTTTAAACCACCTTTCGGACCCTCAAAATTATCTGATTTTACAGTATTGATTCTGTAACGCGGCTACAAACATGGACTGTACATTTCATGTCGTCATGTTAATCTTTTTAACGAGATAAGGAAATATGCTGCAGAATTAGGTATCAAGATCATGTAATCGTGTTGAAAATCCCAAATTTTGTTTCAGTTTTTATACCGATGTTCCCTTGGGGTCCTATATTTCCCCCTTCATTGCTACCGCCAAAATCTCCAGGTTTAAGTTTTGGTGCTGTTCCTCCCTCGGTGGTCAAAGGTTATTGCACAGACTGTGTTGCTGAAAATTTGGTGATATGGTGAACTTAGTTTCACGTTACATATAAAGATAAATGTTTCTACCAGAATAGTGATCTGTGTTCCCACCAAGTCCTACATTGCCGAACAGAAGTCACAGAAACACATGTTTAAACTTCTGATTTTGCCTTAACTCCTTTTATATTCCTGGAATAGGCAAGGTATGTTACACTACAACCATTCTTGCAATTTCTTGCAGAAGGTCTTGAAGATATAGACTGAATGTCATGTATGGTTTACAGGTCCATGATAGGAACCAAAATATCATATGACCTTGACAGGAGCAAAGGAAGCCTCAATATGGCATACAGGATACCATGGAAGGAGCCAATGAATCGTATCAAGGGAATCAGGGGACCAACACCATACACCCCAATGATAGGGGAACTATAACATACACTGTCATACAGCGGAGGACCATACACCCCAATGATAGGGGAACTATTACATACACTGTCATACAGCGGAGGACCATACACCCCAATGATAGAGGAACTATTACATACACTGTCATACAGCGGAGGACCATACACCCAAATGATAGGGGAACTATTACATACACTGTCATACAGCGGAGGACCATACACCCCAATGATAGGGGAACTATTACATACACTGTCATACAGCGGAGGACCATACAACTATGAAAAGCGCCAAACACAGAGAGACTCTGGACTTTGAAAGAAGCCAAACATAACCTGGAACTTCACAATTATAAGAAGCTATGATTTTTTAACATATTTGGCCAATGTGACATTGTGAGTCAAGGATAAGAATGTATTATAGGAAGCTTCACAGTACCCCTACCACATGTAGCAACTGGCCAAATAGCATGGCCCTAAGTTTTCTGTAACTTGAGATAACGTTTAAGGCTTTTATAAAAAAACGTTGATGATATTTTAACCAAATCAGCTCTTGAGCTAACCTTTGACCTCAATAAATTAGATTTGCATAACTCGTGCCCATAACAAACTGAAGTATTATGTCTCCAGATCGTTTTAAATGTCATCTTAAGATATTCAACATATTTAACCCGTGACTTTGAAAGGTTACCCGAGGTCAAAGTATCTTTTATACTAGAAAACTTTGTATCACTCCATCCCAGGTACTTACAGTTCTATACCACCATCATAACACTGGGCCATTGGAAAGTTAGACGAATTGACCATTGATCTGACCACAATATTTGCACTGCTGGTATACATAGCTCTAGACCTTATGGTTCCTTAGATCAAGTTGTTTACTTTTTACATATATTCCTAACCTGTGAATTTGAAAGAAGGTGAAGGTCATTAATAAGAAAAAACTTCCTAGCCCCCAATCCTGGGTAAAAAACTGGCCAAACACTGTAAACCTAGAAAAATCATTAAATCAATCCAAGAAATAGTGGAGGGTGGATGATGCACCAAAGCGTTACCTCAAAGGCTTCTCCTGTTGGCTGAAACCCAGATTGAACTGAAAAGGAGGGATTCATGGATAACTCCATACCCACCATGTTTTTATATGCATCCAAAACAGAAATGAGATTGCACTGACCGCGTTTTTGTATGAAACACACAATGATGTATATGCATACCGACTTTTATCTCCCTACACTGAAGCTTTGGGAGGGAAATAACCGATACCTGTGCTTCAGTACTAGAGGTCAAGGTCAAAGAGAAAAAATTGATGGATGGACAATGGACCACATCATAATTATATCAGTCACCTGGCATGAAGTGTTGTAAATATAATTAAGTATTGAAAATGTTACAATTATGCAATGAGTAAGCTTCCATCTCTATTCCACTGTTTTGTAATAAGTGCCTCTCGCACCATGTAGCAGGCACTTAAAAAAGTAAGAATATAACGATTACTTTGGTAAGTTTTTTCATTTTTATTTTTCTTGGCATTCAAGTCAAATTCCATTCATTCAGCATAACCAAGAATTCAAATAAATAAAATTAGCACTTTTCAGAATCATAAACCACCGTTTTGTCTACACTTCCTTAAGTGGTATACAAATGTTTACTAATCCATGTACATTTAATGTGACAGACAGTAACATTATTTGTCTACAGTGACTGACAACAGTCAAAGCTGCAAACTCTCAGAAACCACATGTTCTTCAGGTGTCATGCATGGTACAGTTAAGGTAGCATACACCCTTAAGTGAGGTGATCAAACAAAATTAACGGCACTTAATATTTCAATACTTTTGAAATTTAACAATTGAAAATTAGAATCAATTTTTATAAAACTTTTTTTCTTTGAAATTACTTCTTAGATCACATACACCAACACTGGGTTATGTCACAACACTGTAGATAGCCTATAATTCACACAAACTTTATTAACATGTAAATTCACATTAAGCATCAGTCACAAATACTGTGAAATCTCTTGTTTTTGTGGGGTTTTAATTTTCGTTCATTTCATGGGTTATCATCATTCACAAGTTCATAGGTCTACCAAGTAATTACAAGTTTGATATAAAGCAATTCTCAGTTTGAGTGGGTACTCAAAATTCAAAAAATCATGTACCTCTAAAATATGGGCCTCACGAAAATATCTGATTTCACAGTATTGCGTGCATTTTTTTTTTCATTTTTCTTTTCAAAGTCTTTTTAAAGTCATAAAATAATATTCCTACAGTAGATGTACACAATTATTACTTCAATATCCTCATTGACTACTAATGTGAAAATAAACAAATAAAGTCCTTTCTCCAAGATGTGGTATGAGAAAAGCAGAGTTTGTCTCCCACCCTTTACAGGCGTGTCCCCTGTATTACTAGGTTTCAGGTATCCTCCTGAAATCAAGATGATGAAGCTAAACATTCCTTTTACACCTATTGGATGTTGGTTCTGTTACACAGTGTGTTACTCTGTTGATATAGCATTGTGTAGATATGGGTCACAGAGGTCAATAAAGTAGACTTACTCATTCACCCCTGAAGACAAATTTGAACTCTACCAATTCAAAGGTTGGAATAGTCCATTATGAAATTTCAGGGGTGAATGAGTTAATGTCAAAATCAGTATTCAATGGAGACAACATGTGAAAGGAAAACCAATTGAAAACTATTGTTTTGAACATATTATCACTATGAGGGAAGAACAGAACATAGTATCGCTATGAGGGAAGAACAGAACATATTGTGCTATGAGGGAAGAACAGAACATATTATCGCTATGAGGGAAGAACAGAACATATTATCGCTATGAGGGAAGAACAGAACCATCCCCTGCTGTGAGCCTCAGGTAAGACAATCGACAAAACCAACTCTTTGGTTGAGATTTTCCAACCATCACAACAGGCTAAGGGTCTGTTATTTTTATCTGAATTTATAACAGTCAAAGAGAAGTGCAATTTGATCAAGATTTAAGTGTTTGTATTTTCCAGGAATGGCTTACCTAGAGGACAACGTTAACCATAATTGAAGTATGGAGCGGAAAATATTATGTATCGATTAAACAATGTGACCTGTCAACAGTACAGAAGTCAAACTTCTCTAGACGACACAAGAAATAGAAAAGATACCACAATAGAAAACAAATATGTGTTAAGTGTTAAACCATGTTATAAATCGTACTTCAATACTTGTATTACTGGACCTTTCTACATACAGTAGATCTACAATAATACTGGAATCATGGAATTAATTCTCCATACCGTTTTACATCTTTTGTGATAGAAGCCAATTTATACATTTCAACTTGCTGTCTGTAGAAATGTTTTTGTGTTTTTTCTCCTTTTTCTCTCTCTTTCACACTTCAGTCACTCAGACAGCCATGTTGAGTCGCTCGATAACATGTCGGTACATGTCTATGTTTTCCTGAAAGGTATTCTCAAGATATGCAAGTCTCTGTTCTTTAGACAAACAACTCAATGTTGCTGATAGTTCATCAGGGCGTAACACTTTCTCCAGCTTGTCAAAGTCACGGCCTTTTTTCTGCAGAAAAACAAAAACAAAAAGTTAAGATGAGTAATTAAGCTATGTATAGGACACAAGTGCCGATTGCAAACATAAACGTAACTTTGACCCTCCACTATCTCTGTCACAGAAGATCCAGGTTTGTGGCAGCCATTTTCACAGGTGAAAAATATCCTCAGAGGCAAGTTAGAACTGAGTTATAGTTGTAAATGTTTGGCAAATGGAAGCAACAGCAGCAATCTTAATCCAAAACATAACAGTCAGTGATTATACTGTTAGATATATCCTCTATATATCACTCCCACAAAGTATGAGTAAAGTTAATATATCCTCTACACATCACTCCCACGAAGTATGAGTTAAGTTAAATATATCCTCTACACATCACTCCCACGAAGTATAAGTAAAGTTAAATATATCCTCTACATATCCCTCCCACGAAGTATGAGTAAAGTTAAATATATCCTCTACATACCACTCCCACGAAGTATAAGTAAAGTTAAATATATCCTATACATATCACTCCCACGAAGTATGAGTAAGGTTAAATATATCCTCTATATATCACTCCCACGAAGTATGAGTAAGGTTAAATATATCCTCTACATATCCCTCCCACGAAGTACAAGTTAAGTTAAATATATCCTCTACATATCACTCCCAGGAAGTATGAGTTAAGTTAAATATATCCTCTACATATCACTCCCACGAAGTATAAGTAAAGTTAAATATATCCTCTACATATCACTCCTACGAAGTATGAGTTAAGTTAAATATATCCTCTACAAATCACTCCCACGAAGTATGAGTTAAGTTAAATATATCCTCTACATATCACTCCCACGAAGTATAAGTAAAGTTAAATATATCCTCTACATATCACTCCCACGAAGTATGAGTAAAGTTAAATATATCCTCTACATATCCCTCCCACGAAGTATAAGTTAAGTTAAATATATCCTCTACATATCACTCCCACGAAGTATGAGTAAAGTTAAATATATCCTCTACACATCACTCCCACGAAGTATGAGTTAAGTTAAATATATCCTCTACACATCACTCCCACGAAGTATGAGTAAAGTTAAATATATCCTCTACACATCACTCCCACGAAGTATGAGTAAAGTTAAATATATCCTCTACACATCACTCCCACGAAGTATGAGTAAAGTTAAATATATCCTCTACACATCACTCCCACGAAGTATGAGTAAAGTTAAATATATCCTCTACATATCACTCCCATGAAGTATAAGTAAGGTAAAATATATCCTCTACACATCACTCCCACGAAGTATGAGTAAAGTTAAATATATCCTCTACACATCACTCCCACGAAGTATGAGTAAAGTTAAATATATCCTCTACACATCACTCCCACGAAGTATGAGTAAAGTTAAATATATCCTCTACACATCACTCCCACGAAGTATGAGTAAAGTTAAATATATCCTCTACACATCACTCCCACGAAGTATGAGTAAAGTTAAATATATCCTCTACACATCACTCCCACGAAGTATGAGTAAAGTTAAATATATCCTCTACACATCACTCCCACGAAGTATGAGTAAAGTTAAATATATCCTCTACACATCACTCCCACGAAGTATGAGTAAAGTTAAATATATCCTCTACATATCACTCCCATGAAGTATAAGTAAGGTTAAATATATCCTCTACACATCACTCCCATGAAGTATGAGTAAAGTTAAATATATCCTCTACATATCACTCCCATGAAGTATAAGTAAGGTTAAATATATCCTCTACACATCACTCCCACGAAGTATGAGTAAGGTTAAATATATCCTCTACACATCACTCCCACTGCACCCTGGGTTTTAGTATATACAGTTACCTCCCCTTAATTTCGTTTTGGAATTAACAGTAGCACAGTTGGGCCAGAACCCCTCCATTGACCACGTAGCACAGTCAGTTTAAGCTACTGTACAACAATCTGAGGTCCAGGGTTTGATTCCAGGGTAGCTCCACTGGACTTTTACCAGCAGAACACTGTTGATTACATATTATTTATCTAACCTTTACTACGTTTTCAACACAAGTCCCACAAGGTATGGTTATTGTCTCAGATATAATTTATCAACTGATGCTGGGAAAACAGTTCCCAATTCTTATTTATAGATTTTGGCAGTGGAACGGAGATCCTTAAACTGATATGGAAATATCGATGTTGGCAATACAGTACTTCTGAAATCTATGAATAAATATTCATGTGTCGCTAATTTCCTTTGTTTTGGTCAAAGCATATATACGCCTAGATTCCAGTTTTCAAATATCACTATTGTTAAGCAGTTATATTTTGTGAGGGATTTTGAACTTGTGAGGTAGTATGATGGGCTTGTTTACCTGGAAGGGTGCGTTGAGTCGACGTTTGATGTCAAGTCTGTAGGCCCGATACATCTCCTTGTCACTCGTGTCGGTTGCCTTCAATCTAAGGATCTCGTATATTCTCCGTGACTGTCGCTGAAATTATTTGAAAATTTATAAATCTAAAATTGAAGTTATTTTCAAAATTGATGGCAGAAAGATTTGTGAGTGTATCTGTGACCATTGTGAGACTGATTACAATGACCGTTAGTTACAAATGTGTAAATGTTACAAGACAAAGATTTTAGTACAAAAGTCTTACTTTTTCAATAGGAATATTCTGACAGACTCTTAGTTCCGAATTTTTCATAAATATATGGAAAGATTTTTTTATCAAGATGATAATTCACAGCAGGAGGGCAATTTTGATTTCTGTTTATCAATCTAGTTTAAAAAAAAAAAAATCTTTCTGGATAAGAACTTCCCTAAATTTTTAAGGAATCCAGCTAAACTCTTTCTGTGTGCTTCTATAATCAATGAATGGAAAGTACAATGCAGAACCAAATCAGTGCTAATGATTGACGATACAGGTAATTCCGTAATTCTAGATAGCCTGTGGTTTTAACATACCCTGTATTCTGCATACACACACGCAAGCACACATACACTGAACACATGGAGGCACGTCCTTAAATGATCTTAGCTGTTCATAGGACGTTAAACAAAATTAAACCAAACCAGAATTTTATCAGCATAAGCAACACCAACTGCACACCGTCAATCATTTCCTGCCTTGTTTGAATGAGAGCCACCAGAGGAACACTTGCTAGTGACAATTTTATTTTAAGATGTGACATTGACCTTTGATGGAAAATATAAAAATGAAATAGGGATTTTGATTGCATGATGACCCAAACGATTATCAAGCATAATAATAATAATAATAATAATAATAATAATAAACTTTATTTATTGATACAAAACCTGTTTAGCAAAGCTAATCTTCCACAGGGTCCTCTGTTAGTAAAATTGGTTAGTTAAAAGACAAAGTAGTATCACATCAAATAAATGTACATAAAATAATTGTTGGTCTACTAAAACAGCAATTCATATCACAGTTATTTCATAATTTAAACGGTCGTTCAATACAATTACAATAAAATTATCACAGAAGCACGAAATATATTCCGTGCTTAACCCATTATGGTTTTCATTAAAAGACAAACTGTCTAATTTACATATATGCTAATGTAGCAAAAGCTAAAAATTGACAGAATACACGCTAATATAGTGAAAATAAAACAAATCAAAGCTGTATCTAAAAAGTATAATAGTAAAAATAAAAGACAATTAAACCGCATTCTTAATGTTACCAATCATATTTTGTTTGAGTTTTGTCAAGGAGGAAGAGAGTCTTACTTCAACTGGTAAATTATTCCAAATCTGGCTCCCTTGTACCAAAAAGTGTTTCGCATCTTGGTAATTACAGGAAGAGTTGCATAGGAATCGGTCACATAACCGCTTTTAGAGTTATTTCTGAAACCACTAAACTTTCATGAGCACCTAAAGTAAACAACTTGTGTAAAATGGCAGACCTTTCTTTCATCAAAAACTATGAAATTTTGAGAACCTGTAAACCGTAAGACTTTATCAGAAGTGAAAATCCCCGAGATTTTGCCTCTCTGTTTATCTGGCTTACATCGGCATGTTTGTATGTAATGAGGTAAAATGTTAGGCACTTCCTCAACTGCTGCTTTGTTTCTCCTCAGAATAATTGTTACTACAGATATCAGCATAACACAACAAATTATAGTAATTCCACACTTTTTATAAACGGCCTTGTGGATGCTTTACTTACCTTGTTTAACTTAAGTTTTTCTCTTGTCTCCTTCGCCATCTCCTCCGAGAACCCACTCTTGAGTTTGGAAACCTCGTAACTTGCAAGCTTCATGCAGTTACGTGCATCAACAAAGTCACGTAACCGCTGGAAGTTTTCTGAAGGGTCTTCAACTGGATCAGGCAGAAATGTTTTCACAGTTAGATAGGCGAACAATGCAAGAGACCCGAATAGGTCATCTGATTTTTTAAAACCTCACGTTTAAATTCCAAATGAACAAGAATAGACAAACTAAGCCCATGCCAAAGATGAAATAAGAATTATATTCTGATGATGATGGAAATACAGCTTTAACATGCGTCTTCTCCAAAAACTCAGTTTTTACTACTCCTATTCAAACAATTTTGATTTTACTTATCCACATTTCTTTAACAACAAAACTTGTCACATGCTGTTGAAATATAATTCAAATATGTAAAAGCGGCAATACATTAAATTGTATTGTCACCTGCCCTATGACCCTGTGGATAAATATGTCCTCCATTGCTTACCTGTGATGTCCATGACCTCTGACCTTGTGTAACAGTCGTTGTAAAATGTCTGTACCAAGTGACACCCATGACCTTGCTTTTGGAACGGTGGTAAAACTAAAACTTGGCTGCAATAAATGATACAAATGTTTGTGACTTGTCTGCATTTACTCTTTACACTGGGGGCATGATAATCCAACCTTTCATGTTCCCAACCAGTTACTTTACACTGGGGGCATGATAATCCAACCTTTCATGTTACCAGCCAGTTACTTTACACTGGGGCATGATAATTCAACCTTTCATGTTCCCAGCCAGTTTCTTTTCACTGGAGGCATGATAATCCAACCTTTCATGTTCCCAGCTAGTTACTTGATTATGAGTTAGTTGATTTGCTGGGACTGGGGCATGATAATCCAACCTTTCATGTTCCCAACCAGTTACTTTACACTGGGGGCATGATGATCCAACCTTTCATGTTCCCAGCCAGTTACTTTCCACTGGGGGCATGATAATCCAACCTTTCATGTTACCAGCCAGTTACTTTACACTGGGGCATGATAATTCAACCTTTCATGTTCCCAGCCAGTTTCTTTTCACTGGAGGCATGATAATCCAACCTTTCATGTTCCCAGCCAGTTTCTTTACACGGGGGCATGATAATTCAACCTTTCATGTTCCCAGCCAGTTACTTTACACTGGGGGCATGATAATCCAACCTTTCATGTTCCCAACCAGTTACTTTACACTGGGGGCATGATAATCCAAGCTTTCATTTGCCCAGCCAGTTACTTTACACTGGGGCATGATAATTCAACCTTTCATGTTCCCAGCCAGTTTCTTTTCACTGGAGGCATGATAATCCAACCTTTCATGTTCCCAGCTAGTTACTTGATTATGAGTTAGTTGATTTGCTGGGACTGGGGCATGATAATCCAACCTTTCATGTTCCCAACCAGTTACTTTACACTGGGGGCATGATGATCCAACCTTTCATGTTCCCAGCCAGTTACTTTACACTGGGGGCATGATAATCCAACCTTTCATTTTCCCAGCCAGTTACTTTACACTGGGGCATGATAATTCAACCTTTCATGTTCCCAGCCAGTTTCTTTTCACTGGAGGCATGATAATCCAACCTTTCATGTTCCCAGCCAGTTACTTGATTATGAGTTAGTTGATTTGCTGGGATATTTTGGTACAGTTAACAGCCTATCACTCCACTAAGACACTCGCTGGACAATGAGATAACCTAATTCATGGAGACTGGGTTACGGTAAAACTAAAACTTGGCTGCAATAAATGATACAAATGTTTGTGACTTGTCTGCATTTACTCTTTACACTGGGGGCATGATAATCCAACCTTGCATGTTCCCAGCCAGTTGCTTTACACTGGGGGCATGATAATCCAACCTTTCATGTTACCAGCCAGTTACTTTACACTGGGGCATTATAATCCAACCTTTCATGTTCCCAGCCAGTTACTTGATTATGAGCTAGTTGATTTGCTGGGATATTTTGGTACAGTTAACAGCCTATCACTCCACTAAGACACTCGCTGGACAATGAGATAACCTAATTCATGGAGACTGGGTTACGGTAAAACTAAAACTTGGCTGCAATAAATGATACAAATGTTTGTGACTTGTCTGCATTTACTCTTTACACTGGGGGCATGATAATCCAACCTTTCATGTTCCCAGCCAGCTACTTTACACTGGAGGCATGATAATCCAACCTTTCATGTTCCCAGCCAGTTACTTGATTATGAGTTAGTTGATTTGCTGGGATATTTTGGTACAGTTAACAGCCTATCACTCCACTAAGACACTCGCTGGACAATGAGATAACCTAATTCATGGAGACTGGGTTACTGGGACATTTCTGTGCACTAAAAGGCCTATCACTGCCCTTAGACACTGTCTGGACAATTGGACAACCTAATTTGTGGTGGCTGGGTTGCTGGGGCATTTTGATATAGTAAACGGCCTATCATTGCCCAAAGACACTATTTCTGGTTTACCTACAGACATAATTTAAGAGCAAACCCTTAACTTTTTTGTCATTTTATGACTAGCACTGTAAAAGGCAAGATCCTTGTTCTATAAAACCTATGTAAAATATGTAATAAAATAACATCATTTCCCTACCTACCGTTCCTAATTATGTTAAAGAGTGAAAGCACAAATAGAGAATAATTTCTATTAGGCCTCACAGACTTGAGGATTACCTTATTCTAGGACGAACTTTCGCTGGATATGCGTAGTAATTGTAAGCAGTCATGTATCCTGCGATAGCGTACATAGGGTTTCCATTGACCTTGTATCTTTCAAACCTGAAACATAGAAATCAACAGGTTAATCCTTGATTACCCCACCATACTGCAGGACATTATACAACATTCCTCTCGGCAGGCTCTTTCACATTCAGGTTTGTAAGCATGGCAAACAGCCTTAATCACTGTGAAATCAGATATTTTCATGGTGTCCGAATTTCCTGGTTTTCACAAAACACATTGATTTGTAGGTACATGAATTTGTGAATCTACCCAGTCAAATTGCTTTATGTCAGACCTGTAATTACTTCCTGCACCTATGAATTCCTGGATTAAAAATACCCATGAAATTGACGAAATTAAAAATTTCACAAAAATTAGTGATTTCACAGTAGTGCTACTAAAATGGGGCCCTCCTCCTCCCTGAAACAGTTGGGTTGTCCTCCATTTTTCAAGGACTATTCTATAAAACTAAGGATATTAGAGCTAGTCTTGAAAATCCATAAAAAATATCTCCAAACGTGGAATAGATGGAGAACACTGGTTGATTTTGTCCATTGTGGATTGAGCAGCCTAATTAACAAATGTCTGCTTTTCCATTTATCTGTTAACTGGTGGCTTTCTTTCCACCCTATAGCATACTCTCAGAATAGATCATTGTTTAAAATGACCTCATCTATTTGGAAATTCTCCCACAAACTTGAAAGCTTTTTATTTTCTTTATACCAGTAATAACAAAAGGTTTTATGAAACAAGAACTTCATTTTTGTTCTGTCAAATAGAAGTATTGCTAAGAACCACCATTACATACAAGAGATAAAACATCCATCGATCATCGTCCACGTCTATGTAGGAGGCAGCGTCGATGAAGAAGAGGATAAATGTCTGAAGGTGTTCGTGGTATTCCCGAAATCCCGGTGCCGATATGTCTGTCTTGTATATCTCAAAGTGTCTCTCCTCATTGTCTGAAACACACAAAATATATATGATTTGTCACAGGCATTTATGTACACATATTTTCGTTGAATTTATGGAGTTATTTTTCTGTGTCAAACTTTTGCATTTTCAATCCTCAAACAAATTCACGGTGTTGAAAATAAATGAAATTCTGTAACTCTCTAACATTGATAAGAAATGGTCTAAATTTCTATTCTTACTGAAAATATAGCAAAAATAGAACCTCTATTAAAACTAGGGTTGCAACGATACAGTAACATGACAATATGATAGGTATCACGATACAGTAAAATGACAATATGACAGGTATCACGATTCTGTAACATGACAATATGATATGTATCACGATACAGTAACATGACCCTATGATAGGTATCACGATACAGTAAAATGACAATATGATAGGTATCACGATACGGTAACATGACAATATGATAGGTACCACGATCCAGTAACATGACAATATGATAGGCATCACGATACAGTAACATGACAAAATGACAGGTATCACGATACAGTAACATGAAAATATGATAGGTATCACGATACATTAACATGACAATATGAGAGGTATCAAGGTACAGTAACATGACAATATGATAGTTATCACGATACAGTAACATGACATTATGATAGGTATCACGATACAGTGACATGACAATATGATAGGTATCATGATACAGTAAAATGACAATATGACAGGTATCACGATTCTGTAACATGACAATATGATATGTATCACGATACAGTAACATGACAATCTGATAGGTATCACGATACAGTAACACGACAATATGATAGGTATCACGATACATTAACATGACAATATGATAGGTATCACTATCCAGTAACATGACAATATGACAGGAATCACGATACAGTAACATGAAAATATGATAGGTATCACGATACATTAACATGACAATATGATAGGTATCACTATCCAGTAACATGACAATATGACAGGAATCACGATACAGTAACATGAAAATATGACAGGTATCACGATACAATAACATGACAATATGAAAGGTATCATGATACAGTAACATGACAATACGACAGGTATCACGATACAGTAACATCACAATATGATAGGTATCACGATACAGTAACACGACAATATGATAGGTATCACGATACATTAACATGACAATATGATAGGTATCACGATACAGTAACATGACAATATGAGAGGTATCAAGATACAGTAACATGACAATATGATAGGTATCACGATACAGTAACATGACAATATGATAGGTATCACGATACGACACATATCACGATACATATAGGATGTGAACAGTAGAGTGAAAAGATACATGTATGTTGCAAATTTCTAATGGCAATATTACAACAGGAAATAGACATGGTCCAAAATGTTCATGACTTTAAAGTTTCATACAATTCACGTCTTTTGACGTCACTACATGCTGAGCTTGAGCTGTCGTTTCCAATGTTGGAACGAATATGAGGAGACTAAATTCATAAGCAAAAAAATCGGGAAAATGTTGTAGGTGTATTGTGGCCTCCCCGGAAAATGTTGTAGGTGTATCGTGGCCTCCCCGGAAAATGTTGTAGGTGTGTCGTGGCCTCCCGAAACATTTGGACAATATTTCAGTACATGGAACTCTCCCATGTCGAAAACTTACTTCCATACAAAATTTGATAACTAGGTGCAGAGGCGTCACGATTCACCACGATCTGAATATTAGTGTATGCCGCTTCAGCCAAAACGTCAGTGAAACGTTCAATTTTAATTGGCTGATCTCTTAACCCTCAGACAATCGGCTGTGAGGATACAATTTTCACAAAGTATTCATAACTAAATGGCAGACTGCGGTAAGAAAATGACAATTTGTGATACTCAGGCAAGCTTCAAGTCAAAAGTGTGGAAACACTTTGAATTCCCGTGTATCGACGGCTTATATATCTCATTTGGTTTATTTTTTTAAAATAAAGGTGTATCGAATCGAAATTATCAAAACGATGGTTAGACAACAAAATAATCACCCAACAAAAGCATATTTGGCAAATGAATGTTCGCCATTCATCTTTCTATGGCGTCACAATCCACTTTTATATGACGTCACAATTTAGTGTATGCTATTCTGCACAGCGCTATCTCCCCCTTGGGGTGACAAGCTGATCTCTCTTGGCTAGAACAGGAGACATACCTGTGAAGGACGGGAGAATCGTTTGCGTACCTTTGATGACTTTGTAACTGTGCATCATCTCGCCGAACGGTTTAAATGTGGCGTCCTTCTCCAGGTAGGCTGTGAACATGTCTTTGTTTGTGAGGTACCCTGGAGGGAGCTTACTGTTTAACGTCCCTAACACATTATCAGGCTATGGACAAAATAAAACAAACATTTACTGTATGTACGTCATGGAACCATATCGTCTCCTATTAGGACTTCATACAATCATGTCGCATTAGAACATTACAGCTGACACTGACAGAAGCATTCTTTTTTTTTATACAGAATCTGAATATTCTTTTATCCTTTATATACAAAATATTGCAGCAAAACATCTTTCACAATTATGTATCTACGAAGGAAAATAAAATTGAGTCCTCAAGGATTAAAATGAGCATCAGATCTGCGAGTCTTAACCAACAATTTTTTTCGTCTTTCCAACACATAACATAATCTAAGTAACAGCTTATAAATATTCAAAGCAAAGGAACTGTTTATTTTACATTGAATATCAGAAATATTAGGGGGGGGGGGGGGGGCACATCTGCCACTTATAAATATTCAATTCCCTTTGCCCAAAGATTCTCTAGAACAGGTTTGGTTAGGTTAAAATCACTTCAACGGAACAGAAGGAGAAGGATCTTTAATGTTTTTCCTGTATTTCCCCTAATGGGCTCCACTCATCTGCCCCAAAGAAGGGGGTCCACACACCTCAGTTTAAACAAAATTGATATTTTTGTCCCTAAGCATGCTTCAGACTGCATTTAGTTTAAATCCCTTCACTTATATAGTAGGGGAAAAAAACCTTCTATTTCCCCTATTGGGCCCCGCCCCTATGCTTCCAGAGGGGCCACATCCTCTATTTATACAAACTTGAGTCTCCTTTGTCCAAAGATACTCTAGAACAAATTTGGTCAAAATCCTTCTATTGATTGAGAAGAAGATTTTGAAAGATTCACCTATTTCCCCCCTATTTGGCCTCGCCCCTCTGCCCCCCAGGGGGACCATACCCTCTGTTTATACAAAACTGAGAACCCTTTGGCCAATGATGCTCCAAACCAAATTTGGTCAAAATCCCTTCATCGGTACAAAAGGAGATGGATCTTTGATGTTTTCCTCTATTTCCCCTAATGGGCCCCACCCATCTGCCCCTAGAAGGGGGCCCACACACCTCAGTTTATACAAAATTGATTCTTTTGTCCCTAATCATGCTTCAGACTACATTTGCTTTAAATTCCCTTCACTTGTATAGCAGGAGAAAAAAATTCCTCTATTTCCCCTATTGGGCAATCCTTCAATTGGTTGAGAAGACGAAGATTTTTAAAGATTTACCTATTTTCCCTCTATTTGGCCCCGTCCCTCTGCCCCCAGGGGGACCATACCCTCCGTTATACAAAACTGAGAACCCTTTGGCCAATGATGCTCCAGACCAAATTTGGTCAAAATCCTCTGAGCCGTTCAGGACTAGTAGCGTTTTAAAGGAAAAAGTTGACGAACGACAGATGACAGACGACGGACGCGGCGGCATGGGATAAGCTCACTTGGCTGTTGGGCCAGGTGAGCTAAAAACAGGCATTCAATTGTATGAAATTTGTATTTACCTGTATGCCATCAAACCTCTGTGGTGTAACTTTGTCGGAGTATTTCATGTTGATAAAAGTTGAGAGTCTGGCTGCACTGTAGAACATCTCAACCATTAAGTCTTTGTAGCCAAATATACTCTCCCTGTAATACAAGGTAAATTGTAGCCAAATATACTCTCCCTGTAATACAAGGTAAATTGTAGCCAAATATACTCTCCCTGTAATACAAGGTAAATTGTAGCCAAATATACTCTCCCTGTAATACAAGGTAAATTGTAGCCAAATATACTCTCCCTGTAATACAAGGTAAATTGTAGCCAAATATACTCTCCCTGTAATACAAGGTAAATTGTAGCCAAATATACTCTCCCTGTAATACAAGGTAAATTGTAGCCAAATATACTCTCCCTGTAATACAAGGTAAAGTGTAGCCAAATATACTCTCCCTTTATTACAAGGTAAATTGTAGCCAAATATACTCTCCCTGTAATACAAGGTAAATTGTAGCCAAATATACTCTCCCTGTAATTGCCAACTTATTGAAGTCCTCTTCGTCAGAAATTAATTGATTACAATACGAATTACGCAATGTTAGAGCTACTTAAATACCATATCTGTAATACAATGTAAACTGTAGCAGAATGATGTCTGTAATGCAGCTCTCTAATACTGTAACACAAATGATAATATCACGTATTTCTTCACACTTACTGTTCTCCAAATAACTGGTGAGACATTTCAGGTAAAAATGTTGTACTATCATCTTCAATGTCGGACGGTTGTCTTACTGGAAAAAGAACAAGGAAATTCAGTACATACATAAATTTCATATACAATCTTTAAATTATGATGTTACTAATTTGTTTATTTATTTTTAATTTCCATTTTTGACATTGTTAAGTATTATACAGTACACAGTGTTAGCGTTACATTTAATGTATCAGTATCGGCTACATTAACATAATCAATTATCAGTTTATACATTATCAATTATCAGTTTATACATAATCAGTTATCAGTTTATACATTATCAATTATCAGTTTATACATTATCAATTATCAGTTTATACATTATCAATTATCAGTTTATAAATAATCAATTATAAAGGTTTTTGTGTCTCCCTTGTAGTATGTATTAATCAAAAGATTGGAAGCTTTAGATCCATATACCTGAATGTTCTACTCATTAAGCACTGAGCACACATCAATCATCATTTAACATCAATAAAAAGCCTTTTTACGTATATACACAGTAGCTGTTGATCATCTCTAAATAAATTTTCAAATAGAATCTATACTGATGAATCACCGTTTAACTTTTGCAGTGGTAATGAGTTCCATATTTTCCAATTCATTTTCACTTATTTTACAATCCTTGACTCATCACTGATGAAAGCCCTTAAGAAGTTATGAATTAGTGACATTGTAATTTGATGCATACGATACAGTCAGGATGTTAAAATTTGGGTCTATTATTGCAAATAAAATGAACTTCTAGCTACTAAACTTGAATCGATTGCAAATCAAACTAGAACACTGACAGGTCAGTAAGGGCCCCGTCTTGTGGCAATATATCCCCCATAATCATCAGGAAGCAAAACCTACATTTTACATGTACTATGATGCGAGTCTTGTTTCCTTCCACCTCCATATTTGCTGGGCTAACAGAAATGTAAATACCGGTGCAATACTCACTTGTTAGCTTTGCTTTGTTTTATTTCACCTTATATACCTCTTACATCAAAAGCCAGGGTCAAAGTCAGAGATCCACTTTGTCTTTGACCTTTGGACCCAAATGACCTTGACCATTAACCCAGTGACCCTGATCTTTGGTCAGTTGAGTTATTCTTTAATTCCGACCAACTTTGCTTCTTAATATCATAACAAAATATTCTTCAGTGAAATATACAAAACTTGATCTTGACCCTATGGACCCTGTAACCTGGACCTAAGGTCAGTTGACACTGTGTTAACTTCTGAACAACATTGCTTCATAATGTCATAACAAAATGTTCATCAGGGAAAAGGTACAAAATTTAACCTTCGCCTTTGACCCAGTGACCTTGACCTTTGGTCAATTGACTCCTTGTTTAATTCTGAGCAACATTGCTTCAAAGTGTCAAAGCGAAATGTTCACCAGTGAAAAGATATAAAATTTAACCTTGACATTTGATCCAATGACCTTGACCTTTGATCAGATGACTCCTTGTTTAATTCTGATCAACTTTGCTTCATCATGTCATTACAAAATGTTCATCAGTGAAAAGATGCAAAAATTGACTTTGACCTTTGCATCTAATTACCTTGACCTTTGACCTCGACTTTTTACCTCAGTGTGCCTCTTTGTTTAATTCTGAACGACTTTACTTCATAATGTCATAGCGAAATGTTCACCAGTGAAAAGCTACAAAATTTGACCTTGACCCCTGACCCGATGACCTTGACCTTTGGTCAGTTGATTCCTTGTTTAATTCTGATCAACTTTGCTTCATAACGTCATAACAAAATGTTTATAAGTGAAAAGATGTAAAATTTGACCTTGACCTTTGACCTGACTTTTTACCTCAATGTGTATTTTTGTGAACTGAACATGTTGACCAAGTTTCAAGTACATCGGTCAATAAATAACAGTTATTAGCCAGGAACAAAATTTGTGGACGGACAGACAGACAGATTACTATAGGGCACCCGTAGATACGGGGCCCTAATCAACTCCTACAAAGCCAAAACTTTTGAGAAAAACCTCATTAAATACATCAGTTCCTATTACCTGATAGTTAACTGTCCATTATACACGCTGAATAATTACCTAATTTGAAGTGTATGACTTCATTTGCAGAACACTTATAGGCCTCCAGTCGATCTTTTATAAATGATATACCTGCAACATAAAAAATAAAATAAATATATATGCATTTATATTTTTGTCAAACAGAAAACTTTCAGTTTCTTTCAGTTGATTTTAAAGTTAAGTTGCATGTTTTGATCATTCAGGGTTATTTTTGTCGCTAATTTGGGATGGCACCTTCTTGTCTCATATTGGGAAGAAAATATAACAATTTGGAAGAAAATTTCCAGGAAAAACTGCAAATTTCAGGAATAAGGCATACATATGAAATGGTCTTTCCAGTCATTTTTATTTCTTTTTCTTTGCAACGTTTTTAATCTAGTCAAACAAAATTCAACAAAACATTGGCTGATGCAAATAAAAATAAGCAAATTAAACTCAAATTATTCAACTTCATATGTGTACCGAAAAATATTTTTCATCATATATAGTATTGTAAAATATGTGCATTGATTGGGTTGCCTTACAAGCGGCAGCTGTAGGGAATTTCCCTTTAGCTTAACGGTAGAGCATCGGGATGGATAGCCAAGGGTCGCTGGTTTGAGCCCCAGCGACAGCACTATCTTTATCACTATTCCAGTATTGTGGGGTATAAAATCTGTAAGCAAATTCTTTTGATTCAATTTAAGCTTTACATTTTAAGTGGTAATGTGATTGTGACCTTGTATTGCCTTAATCCTGATCTACGTAAGTTTGTGTCATGTCAGCACTAGGCTATATACCTAAGGGATGTTACACTTAGTTGTGATCATCCTTCATGCTACATGTTATAGAGCTGTACCACCTTTATATAAGAGTGCAGTATACTTTTACTTAACAAATTTCAACAGTGATGCACAGCCAGACTGAGGTTCTGACCTGGAAACCTCCAGTCCAGTTCTACTACATTTATCCCTCCTTTTTCTAAGTCTTCGTCCCCAAAGACAACTGTTTACAATGCATTTATTTAGTCATGAAACATCATACAAATGGAAAAATAAACTTTATAGATGCAATACTTCTGGTGGAGTTACATCCATTTTCTAAGTAGCTAACACTAATAGTATTTACATTGTCGTAAATTTATGCAATTTTAAATAATATATTGCAAAAGTTACTGTTAAAGCTATTTGGGTTATTTTTAGTAACAAATCCATACTCCAACTGGCGTATAATAGGCGAGTTTGCATATTATACGCAAGTTGGTGGTTTATCCCCCCCCCCCCCAACGTGTTAAGAGTGACCACAGGGGCACGTTATAAATGTCTGAAATACACACACATGCTATACTTATATGGGTCACAACACACATACACATGTGTGTTGTGACCCATATCAGTATAGCATGTGTGTGTATTTCAGACATTTGTAACGTGCCCTGTGGAGTGACTGAGGAATCAGTCACAAAAACTGACAGTCTGAGTTCAGCTTTCACTACTTGAGGGCTACAGGAATGACAGTTAGGGACCGTGTTATTAACCTGTTGTCAGTAGTCAACAGGTAGCTGGTACCACTACGTTAATTAACATTAATAAGGTATTAGTAAATATGGTGTTGTTCAATTCTTGATGCTACAATAAAGGAAAATTGTCATACTGCTAAGAAAATGTCAAACATAAGGGGGATTGGGCCATCTCGACAACAGGATAGTTTGGTGCCTACATTTCCGACTGACATGAATACTCCAGAGACTGAAGTTATTACAGAATACAGTGGCAACTAAATATAGTTTGTTGACCAGAGGCAGAGAAGTGCGCAGTAAACATGTAATATGAACAATCAACATAAATGCTGTATCCATAAATAACCACCATGTATTACACACACTGTGTAAACACTAATAATTATTATTTCTGGAGTGTGACTTCGGGTTGCATAGAAAGCGAAAAACATTCAACACTCCTTCAGACAGATAGTACATGTTGCTTCTTACCCGCCATTTTCGTAGATCCCGCGACATAAAAACATCTATTTCCGGATCCGGTTATTTCGAGCTTTCTCTAAATTTATCGCTGAGAGAAATGGGAAAATCTATCTACTTTCGCATTCACATTCGCAAGGTCACTAACGGGCCAATCAAACGAAAGGTTTCACGTGATGCCCTTGTAGCACACGAATCATGGCGGCGACGAGAGAAGTAAGGATTTTTCCACGCATGTATATATGTTTTTGTAGCATGCCACCACATGTCACAATGATCAGTGTTGTAAATTTAATGTAAATCCATCTCATCATATTTTGTTGATTATGTATCTTTCAGAATGAAGGCTTTGGTTTTATTTCGAAAATATGGCCCTTTTTGAGAAAAGCAGAATGTGATTCAAAGAAGGTAAACTAGTAAGGTTTGCGGGAAATATTTAGCACTTGGTCTATTACGTATCTCTTACTGCATCCCCTTTATTACCTGGTGACTGATCTTTCAGTTTGAAATAGTATTTAGCATTTAATATGAAAGGCTAGTTCTGATAAACCGTTGCAACTTTCAACTTCCAAGGACTTTGAAGGGCACAAAGTTGCCTCCCTTTAAACGCAAAATGCAGACGATTTTTTAATGTCTGTTGAATTCTCGGTAAAAGCATTTGTTAAGAATTTCTAACAAAAAAAATCTTGAATTTTTCCTATTTGCTTTCATTTTGCCTTACTAATTGTTAACTTTAATATGGAGTATTGCAGTATAATAAAACATCACAAAATATTTTTTGTTATAAAAATGTGATCTACACTGTAAGCTTTGACAAACCGTTCAAGTTAAATCAATCGTTTCTGGGAAATTTTAGAAAAAATCATTAGATAATTTGAAGAAGACAATATTTAAGGCACACTGCATATATGTATCTGAAACTCTGGTTCCAGGAAATCCTGGATCTGCAATTTGATTCATTTTTTAATGAAATTCATTCATATTTCAAAATACTTCCAAAATGGGATTTCAACACCATTTAAAATGTGAACTTGTTTCAAAATATCAATTGCTCTAGATCTGTGTCCAGACAGGAAAATACCTTGCAAATTGGGGTTACATTTGTATTTTGACATTCAAAGTTCGAATTCGATTTAAATTTAGCATAGTGTTAATTTTTAACTATTAATGTTTGTTTCTTTGTTTGTGTCCTTACGCTGTGGCACTCTGTCCCTTATGTAATCCTCTGGTACTTAACGCAAGACATATCAAGAATGTGTTGTCTTTTAATAACCAGAAGTTTAACATCCTACATCCAGATTAATCTAACCTAATTTGGTCAAGAGCATCCTTAGTCAATAGTGTATAAATACAGAATGTGGCCCCTTGATGGCAAGTTGTGGGGTCCAGTAGGGGATATAAAGTTATATCTTTAAAAAAAAATGAGTACAGTTCAAGCAATTTCATTCTAATTTGGTATGAAGCGTCGTTGGACTAAGGGTACACAGCCCTAAAATATTTGGGTCTGGAAGTAAAATGCTAGGGTCAGTCGGTAACCCTAAACAGACATATTTTTTGTTTTGGCCTTACAATAAATGGATGGGGTGGCCCCTCTAAGACCAGATGGGCATTGCCCAAAAGGGAAAATATGGGTAAATCTTCATAAAAATCCTGTTCTACGAGTATTAGTAAAGTTCCCCTTCCTACATCTGCCGTTAGGCCAAGAGTTTTAAATGGTCTGGTGCATCATTAGGACATAGGGCCAGACTAGGTTTCAATGGTGTATGAATGGAAGGTGTTGACATAGGGGCCCGTCCACTGGGGATAAGAATCTTATTAAAAGTTTCCTTGTTCTAATTTTCTATTTGTTGAACCTTTTTCTTTTGATATGCATGTGTTATATCATTTATTTTAAATTAAAAAAGGAAGGGCACAAACCATTCAAGTCCCCTGGCATCTTGTTTTTGTATCACCTGTTATTAAACAGTTAATACCAGGTATATAAAAATAAAGAGTTGTTTGTACATGTATAGGAAATCATGAACAGTAATTTTTCCTTAGTTTCAAACATCTGCCTAATGTTCGGAAAAAAAGAGACTTTATAGAGTTTGAAATATGTTAATATTGAGTTAAATGAAAAATAAGTCTACTTTGCACTATAAAATTGAAAATCAGATATGTATATATCTTGTAATGCATTTGTGACACTGTTATGATTTAAAAAATAATTGGATTGTTGTTACACAAATATGCTGTGATTGATATATCACATTATTGTGGGGGAACCTCATAAGATTTACCGTATTTCATTTAAGCTGTAAACGGTTCTTAAAAAAATTGTAAGCTATGATGGCATCAAATCTGACTTTTCTTTTGACAAAAACTGAAAGATAAAATATACATGTTAGATATACTATAATGAAAACCAGTGCATACTCATGTTACTAATTCATTAAATAAGTTCAGAGTGTATTATTGATATTGTTGCTATTGTGATTTAATACCTGTATCCTTCATCTACTCAATGTAGATGAAGATTTATTTACTTAGAAAACACGTTTTATATAATATTTTTCTCTTGAAAACACTTCCAAATCAACCTGCAAAAAATCTTGTTTTCATAGTATTTTAACACGGGGAAAACAAAATGGCGGCTATTTCCGACACCCATCTGCCTCCCTAATAAATAACTCATGTTACCTGTAACTTTTCTACAGCTTGTGTTGCAATGGTTTCAGAACTACCTTGATATTGTATGCTAGATATGTTTTTTGTTTCAGACTCGAATGTGAAGTGCATGTTTCCCCTGTTCTGGTGCATCAGTGTCTTTATTATTTTAATTTTGTTTACTAAATTGCATGTCAGATTCTCTTTCCTCAGTTGTTGAAAACAACTGTATCTCATCTTTTTCTGTCATTTTATCATAAACTGCATGGACCTTTGTTGTTATAAGGCCAAGCCAAACAAAATTACACTTTGTTTCCTGTTTCAGGTATAACAAAAATAGGGTATATGTAGGAAGGAAGAAGGATACATTGCATAGGTAGAAAGGAAAAGTTACCCCCTCAACTGCTTCCCTGCAACCCAAACGATACCATGTTAAATCATGATCACCCTGTAGTTTTGATACAAATTCAATAATTATGCACATTAACTTGAAAACAAACCTGAATCTAAAACTTACAATCCAATGCTAATGTTTTAGGTACAGTCAGAGGTAAAGAAGGTTTTGTTTGGCCTCATCATTTTCTTTGAAAATCTATACATGTGTAATATTTACTTAATTTTAGTGAACTTTATTGTATCAAATAGAAAAAAGCTTTATCTTGTACCAAAATCATTGTGTACAGAGTTATGGCCATTAATCATTTTCATCCATCTTGTCATCTTGTCTGTGTTGATTTCCATCTCATGATCTCGGGTGTTGTGCTGCTCTCATGGTATTTTCCAAAATTATAAATGTAGGCGACAGCTACCTATACTTGGAACTCATATTCGTGTTATAACTTTTGAATTACCTGTGCTACTGTCAGATAAGTGTTATGATAGGTCGAGATCAGCCATGGATGTTTTCACCTTTTTCTCCATCTGATCTTGTAATGGTCATCATTATATATATCGTTGTTATGGATGGTCCCGAATAATCAATTAAGAATTATCAATGTAGTTTTGTACATTATTCCTCAATTTGATATGAAGAATCAATGCCATATTATTTAAATAGGTAAATGAACTCGTCATCAGTTTTATTTTCATATCAATTTGCATGGAGCCTCAAATTCATTTAAATTGTGAGGCAAAATCATGTACACGAAAAACCTTTCATATCTATACTGAACACTGTTATTGGGAAGGTAATTGATCATAAACAGCCTAGAACTGTCCAACCATTCTGAGGTGTTCATACATATGTATATCTATACAACACTGACTTATTGTGCATTACTTTTACATAATAGTACGTTATATACTCAGATTTTTTTTTATAAATCTTTCACCTGGTCTGATATAACACAGGTAATTAGGATTATGCTGTTAAAGAATGAGTATAAAAGTACATCAATGTATTTCTATCGAATGGTTAATTAGTTTACACTTGCTTGCATTATTTGAATAACAGATAAGACAGTTTTTAACATAACAAGCTCTGATTGCTGTAATAAGGGTGGAACCAGTGATTTTAGAAATGAAACTTCAATGCTTAGCGCAATTGTTTTGATTTTTTCCAATTTTTTTTTAATTATTTCCAGAATTCAAAGTGATCTGGTTGGTTTTATTGTGTATGTGACAACTTCTGACATACATTAGTACAGTGGAGGTTTCGAAGCTCCCATGGGACACATACATGTACATATTGATAAAGTGACAAATGCAATCTTTCAGATTAATATACCTTTTGATAAAAGGAAATTAAAATTCAGCTTAGAAGTAGGTTAAAGAGATCTTCAAGTCTCTACCACATTGGGAAAATAATCAAATCAAGTACGAGGTTTGCTGTTCAGAGGAAAAATGTTTCTAAATAGATAAAATAATGGTGCCCCCATATGTCATATGTCTACACAGTTTATGACCTGGTAGGTAAATAAAAGTATATATGTGTATAACCACAGTTTGAAATAAAATATAAGGTAACATGAATTTTCATTTTATGTTCACTGGTGCGATTATATATTGCCAAACATTTTAATGTGTAATGTAATCCATGTAGTGGTTGTGCTGCCTTGGAAAAGGAATACAATTTAAATTTCTATGTGTTCTGTACATATATATATATATATATAAACTGAATGCTTATTTTTTCATTTGTATAATAGCTAGCTGGAATGACAGACAGTTGTGTTATTGATCCTTCACTGAAAAACAGCACCTGTTCTTATGATTGCTTATATAGTAGGAGTTCAAAGCCATCTGAAGTGTTTAGATTAGTAGTTGATAAACCACAGTATACTGCAGTGTCATGTTACATTATGACAGCCATTATACTGTTTACTTGTGGCATTTTTATAGGCATGTAAGATCTATGACAAAGGTATATTTCTGATGATGACATAATTAGTTTGGGTAGTTACACTGTGTAAGGCCAGGACAGTCAATGGCCACTGAATTTGTTTCTTGATTTCAGAGTTTTTAAACATCATCTAAGATGGAGTGATCATCTGCCTCTGTACTCTTCATATTTGTTATTGCTTCTAAGAGTCCTATACCACTGCCAAAAACTAAAATTATGCTATTTTCTCTGGAATGACTGTAGCTTTAAAATCATGTTTCTGAAAAAGAAAACCATATATTGTGAGACCTTTATGAGAAATAATAAAGATGAAATAAACAAAATATAGTCAACAACGGTGTTCAGAGTGTGAAAATTTAGCAGGGCTAACCTGGTATTCGAACCCTGGACCTCGAGTTTTATAGTGTCTTCCTCTAACCTACGGTACTGAGCTACCAGCTGGTTGTGTCTTCTTCTAACCTACGGTACTGAGCTACCAGCTGGTTGTGTCTTTCCTTAACCTTCGGTACTGAGCAACCAGCTGGTTGTGTCTTTCTCTAACCTTTGGTACTGAGCTACCAGCTGGTCGGTCAACAGTGTGGCTCAATGCACTACAGTTATATCAAAAACAAAATTAAGGGGAGGTAACGATATGTATACGAAAAACCTGAGGAATTCTCTAGTGTTTTGTCAGCAGTGGGTCAGGGGTCCTTAATCTGTTTTACATAGAACTTCTATTACATGTAGTTGTCTGATTCTTCACAGAAAGTCATCCTATCTCTAACAAATCCATCTGTACTTATGTAAAACTTAAACTGCTAATTGTTTACTTCTATTGTTTTACTATTTCTTTTTAATACTACATGTACATTATGTATGCAGGGATCAAGCTAGATTTTAGGGGAATCAACCTTTTTTCAGATTTGGGGGAAATTAAAGTTTTGATACAAGGCTCTAGCGTCATGAAGATATTAAAAAGATTTATATGCTTTGTCGTCGCGACAGTCATGTGTGCAGTATATTTCAATTTATAAAATTGTAGAATTTTTATTTAAATTATGTTAAGAAAAAGTATATATGCAATATTATGCATTTTAACTAATGAACTTTAAGAAAATATATAGGGGAATTATTTTGAAGAAAAATCGCTATTTTCTTGTTGAAATAGAGAAATTTTGAAGCACATAGGGGGAATTTCAGAAAAAAAGAACAGGGGAAACTACCCATAAACGGTAGTAAATCAATTAAGTCTAGATTGATCCCAGATATGTGTTTATAAACATTTACAGTATCTACCAGGTACATATAATATATATTTTTTGAACTTTGATGTGTACATACATAGTCAAGATAAAATCTAGATAGCAACAAATAGGCTTATTTATTGTAAGTGTTGTCAATGACAATATCTCAAATATCTGTGGACTAAATATAATGATCCTTTAATCAAAATAATTAGATGTCTTTGCTAGAACTAGTTCATAGTCGGCATTATTAATTTGGAAGTATCTATGAGGACCTATATTGCAATATTAAGTAACATTGTTAAACAGTATAAGAGAATATATGTTCCCTAATACTCTTAAAGTCAACTCCAATGAAAAAAGAAGTTGAGTATAAATATGGAATTTGTTGTTTTCCAGGAGGAGTTTTTCAAAGGTGCAGACACCGATGAACTCCGTCAAATCTTCCTCAAGGTGAGAAAATGTTTCCTTACTGCTTTTTACTACGAAAAAGTTTTCACTTTAAAGTTTTGAACATTTTATTTATAATATTTAATATTTAAGATGCTGGAATTGAAGTAAACAAAACATATTTTTCAAAAAATTGTCTATTGTACATCTACATGTGTGCATACTATTCAATTTCAATATTTTTCTATTCTTTTTCAAGCATTGTTGAATTTAGTGTTCTCGCTGGCTGATTTAGTAGCTATATTTAGAATATTGAGTATAATAAAGTAACACTACAATAGCATCATTGTTGTTGAGAAGAGTAGTAGGGGGGCCATTACTAGACAGACCAGGTTATATGGATGGCTGACGACAGGTCAGTGACTGATTACAAACAGCATGCGCAGAATACCTGGTGAAAATATACCTGGTGAAAATTCACCCGGCTCTGGCTCTTACTTGAGATACTTGTAGGGGTCGCGGTGGCCAATTGGTTCAGGCATCTGACATTCTGCTTCCACTAGCCCTCCACCACGTGCACTGGGTCACATGTTTGAGGCCTACGTGGGGAAGTTACCAGGCACTGGCCGTATGTCGGTGGTTTTTCTCCAGGTACTCTGGCTTTCCTCTACCACCAAAACCTGGCACATGCTTAAATGACCATAGCTGTTAAAGGACGCAAAACACAAACAAACAAACCAACAATCATGATACTTAACAACTGTAAAAAACTTCCATAGGAGAGATTCTCCTTGTTCAAAATTGAAACATATAAAATGTGTGTGTATGGGGTCTAAAGACAAAAGATTCCTTTAAAATGCCATGTTTTGAGTTGTGCTTTCAAAATCATTAGATCTTAGAATATAGGAATAGTTAAGCAAATTCACTTGTTCAAATAACTAAATTAACAGTTCCATCTTATATTTAAGAGATTTAAGAGTATTTTTGATCTAGTACCCATACATACATGTTGAAAGAAAGATATTGTTTTTGATAAAACAGATACAAGTTATCTTTTTAAGCACCTGTTAAACCTGCAATTATATCTTCCTGTGTATCATAATAATATAACAATTTTGTTCACTCACTTGCTATGTACTTATAGTCTAAATTTAGCACTATCTATATAACATCATGTGTTACACACTCAGTGGTGGAATGTAGTTTCTCTTACCTTGGACAGGTGTATCCACACTTTTACCGGTGTGAGATTTCCTTGTCCCTTACCCTGGACAGGTGTTTCCAACCTTTAACCGGTTTGAGATTTCCTTGTCTCTTACCCAGGACAGGTGTATCCGCACTTTAACCGGTGTGAGATTTCCTTGTCTGTTACCCTGGACAGGGATATCCACGCTTTTACCGGTGTGAGATTTCCTTCTCTCTTACCCTGGACAGGTGTATCTGCACTTTTACCGGTGTGAAATTTCCTTGTCTCTTACCCTGGACACGTGTAGTCACACTTTTACCGGTGTGAGATTGCCTTGTCTCTTACCCTGGACAGGCGTATCCGCACTTTTACCGGTGTGAGATTTCTTGTCCCTTACCCTGGACAGGTGTATCAACACTTTTACCGGTGTGAGATTTAATAATATAACAATTTTGTTCACTCACTTGCTATGTACTTATAGTCTAAATTTAGCACTATCTATATAACATCATGTGTTACACACTCAGTGGGGGAATGTAGTTTCTCTTACCTTGGACAGGTGTATCCACGCTTTTCCCGGTGTGAGATTTCCTTGTCTCTTGCCCTGGACAGGTGTTTCCACACTTTTACCGGTGTGAGACTTCCTTGTCTCTTACCCTGGACATGTGTATTCACACTTTTACCGGTGTGAGATTGCCTTGTCTCTTACCCTGGACAGGAGTATCCGCACTTTTACCGGTGTGAGATTTCCTTGTCTCTTACCCTTGACAGGTGTATCTGCACTTTTACCGGTGTGAAATTTCCTTGTCTCTTACCCTGGAGTATTCACAATTTTACCGGTGTGAGATTTCCTTGTCTGTTACCCTGGACAGGGATATCCACGCTTTTACCGGTGTGAGATTTCCTTGTGTCTTACCCTGGACAGGTGTATCCGCAGGACATGTGTATTCACACTTTTACCGGTGCGAGATTTCCTTGTCTCTTACCCTTGACAGGTGTATCCGCACTTTTACCAGTGTGATATATCCTTGTCTCTTACCCTAGACAGGTGTATCCGCACTTTTACCGGTGTGAGATTTCCTTCTCTCTTACCCTGGACAGGTGTATCCGCACTTTTACCGGTGTGAGATTTCTTGTCCCTTACCCTGGACAGGTGTTTCCAACCTTTAACCGGTTTGAGATTTCCTTGTCTCTTACCCTTGACAGGTGTATCTGCACTTTTACCGGTGTGAAATTTCCTTGTCTCTTACCCTGGAGTATTCACACTTTTACCGGTGTGAGATTTCCTTCTCTCTTACCCTGGACAGGTGTATTCACACTTTTACCGGTGCGAGATTTCCTTGTCTCTTACCCTGGAGTATTCACAATTTTACCGGTGTGAGATTTCCTTGTCTGTTACCCTGGACAGGTGTATCCGCAGGACATGTGTATTCACACTTTTACCGGTGCGAGATTTCCTTGTCTCTTACCCTTGACAGGTGTATCCGCACTTTTACCGGTGTGAGATTTCCTTGTGTCTTACCCTGGACAGGTGTATCCGCACTTTAACCGGTGTGAGATTTCCTTTTCTCTTACCCTGGACATGTGTATTCACACTTTTACCGGTGTGAGATTTCCTTGTCCCTTACCCTGGACAGGTGTATCCACACTTTTACCGGTGTGAGATTCCCTTGTCTCTTACCCTGGACAGGTGTATCCACACTTGTACCGGTGTGAGATTTCCTTGTCTCTTACCCTGGTCAGGTGTATCCACCCTTTTACCGGTTTGAGATTTCCTTGTCTCTTACTCTGGACAGGTGTATCCACACTTTTACCGGGGTGAGATTTCCTTGTCTCTTACCCTGGTCAGGTGTACCCAACCTTTTACCGGTTTGAGATTTCCTTGTCTCTTACCCTTGTCTCTTACCCTGGACAGGTGTATCCACACTTTTACCGGTGTGAGATTTCCTTGTCTCTTACCCTGGTCAGGTGTATCCAACCTTTTACCGGTTTGAGATTTCCTTGTCTCTTACCCTGGACAGGTGTATCAACACTTTTACCGGTGTGAGATTTCCTTGTCTCTTCCCCTGGACAGGTGTATCCACACTTTTACCGGTGTGAGATTTCCTTGTCTCTTACCTTGGACAGGTGTGTCCGCACCTTTACCGGTGTGAGATTTCCTTGTCTCTTACCCTTGACAGGTGTATCTGCACTTTTACCGGTGTGAGATTTCCTTGTCTCTTTCCCTGGACAGGTTTATCCGCACTTTTACCGGTGTGAGATTTCCTTGTCTCTTTCCCTGGACGGGTGTATTCACACTTTTACCGGTATGAGATTTCCTTGTCTCTTACCCTGGACAGGTGGATCCGCACTTTTACCAGTGTGAGATTTCCTTGTCTCTTACCCTGGACAGGGATATCCACCATTTTACCGGTGTGAGATTTCCTTGTCTCTTACACTGGACAGGTGTATCTGCACTTTTACCGGTGTGAGCTTTCCTTGTCTCTTACACTGGACAGGTGTATCTGCACTTTTACCGGTGTGATATTTCCTTGTCTCTTACCCTGGACAGGTGTATCAACACTTTTACCGGTGTGAGATTTCCTTGTCTCCTACCCTGGACAGGTGTATCTGCACTTTTACCGGCGTGAGATTTCCTTGTCTCTTACCCTGGACAGGGGTATTCACACTTTTACCGGTGTGAGATTTCCTTGTCTCTTTCCCTGGACGGGTGTATTCACACTTTTACCGGTATGAGATTTCCTTGTCTCTTTCCCTGGACAGGTGTATCCGCACTTTTACCGGTGTGAGATTTCCTTGTCTCCTACCCTGGACAGGTGTATCTGCACTTTTACCGGCGTGAGATTTCCTTGTCTCTTACCCTGGACAGGTGTATCTCCACTTTTACCGGTGTGATATTTCCTTGTCTCTTACCCTGGACAGGTGTATTCACACTTTTACAGGTGTCAGATTTCCTTGTCTCTTCCCTTGGACAGGTGTATTCACACTTTTACCGGTGTGAGATTTCCTTGTCCCTTACCCTGGACAGGTGTATCCACACTTTTACCGGGGTGAGATTTCCTTGTCTCTTACCCTGGACAGGTGTTTCCACACTTTTACCGGTGTGAGATTTCCTTGTCTCCTACCCTGGACAGGTGTATCTGCACTTTTACCGGTGTGATATTTCCTTGTCTCTTACCCTGGACAGGTGTATCGACACCCTAACCGGTGTGAGATTTCCTTGTCTCTTTCCCTGGACGGGTGTATTCACACTTTTACCGGTATGAGATTTCCTTGTCTCTTTCCCTGGACAGGTTTATCCGCACTTTTACCGGTGTGAGATTTCCTTGTCTCCTACCCTGGACAGGTGTATCTGCACTTTTACCGGCGTGAGATTTCCTTGTCTCTTACCCTGGACAGGGATATCCACCATTTTACCGGTGTGAGATTTCCTTGTCTCTTACACTGGACAGGTGTATCTGCACTTTTACCGGTGTGAGATTTCCTTGTCTCTTCCCTTGGACAGGTGTATTCACACTTTTACCGGTGTGAGATTTCCTTGTCCCTTACCCTGGACAGGTGTATCCACACTTTTACCGGTTTGAGATTTCCTTGTCTCTTACCCTGGACAGGGATATCCACCATTTTACCGGTGTGAGATTTCCTTGTCTCTTACACTGGACAGGTGTATCTGCACTTTTACCGGTGTGAGATTTCCTTGTCTCTTTCCCTGGACGGGTGTATTCACACTTTTACCGGTATGAGATTTCCTTGTCTCTTCCCCTGGACAGGTGTATCTGCACTTTTACCGGTATGAGATTTCCTTGTCTCTTTCCCTGGACAGGTGTATCCACACTTTTACCGGTGTGAGATTTCCTTGTCTCTTACCCTGGACAGGTGTATCCACACCCTAACCGGTGTGAGATTTCCTTGTCTCTTACCCTGGACGGGTGTATTCACACTTTTACCGGTATGAGATTTCCTTGTCTCTTACCCTGGACAGGT